CACCTAGCGTTGTATTTTAAAATGGCTACTGCTCCACTGTTCAGGATAGAAAAAGCTCACTACTGGGTATATCCAAGGGTCTAAAGAAGAACTGTCTAGATTATCCTGGGAGCAAACCAGTCCAGCTTTTATTTTCTAGTGCAGGTTTAAGTCTGAGTTGTGTAGGGCCACACTTAGGGCTTCAGTTATAAAAGTTCCACGCGGATTTGCACAGCACTAGTGCCCCTAGATGGCACTGACCAGTATAGGAAATTCCTATACTGGTCAGAGCCATCTAGGGGTGCCAGTGCCATGTGAATGGATAGCCGGACAGAACATTTATAAATTAGGCCCTTACAGTATTTACTTTAGACACAGATTAAAATACATCTTTGCTTTAAAAAGACTGGAGAAAAGACAAAGGAAACTGTTACAGCCAAGTTGATTATTTGGGGAGTTCTGCTGTTCACCCTGAGAAAGCCCAGGCTCCCTGTATCTTTCATGAGCGGTTTCCATTAAACTGTAATATCTCTTCCAGATGCCCTTTGATATCCTAAAGACAGGAATAAAATTTTGAAGCCTTCGGCTTTAAAAACAAGTATTCATTGCCAACTCTCACACATGAGCCCTGACAGGGTCTGTTTATTATAGCTGTAATATCCATTTACCTGGACCCATGACATCTTGAGGATGAAGATAACATTCTGGACCTTTAAAACAAGCCAGCAGCACCAGCTCTAATACCAGGTTCTTTGTCCTTAATATCTACCCCTCCCAGATACCCCATGACTTTCAGCCAGTTTCAGTCCGGCTGCTTGTGTTACATTCACACCTTATCCATTATCTCTGTCTTGTCAGCGAAGCCTTTTAGTTATTGCATTTTCCTGGGTTGCAATGTTTGGGGAGCTCTCTGCAGATTACAACCTGTCCAAACTCTTCTTCTTCAAATCTCTGCCTGCCGTCTTATTTTTAGAACATGCCAAATGTGCGGGACCACGACGCTTCGGTGTATCTGCGTCTCCAAGGTGACGCTCTGTCCGTGGGCGGCTATGAGTCAAATCCGATATTCTGGGAAGAGGTGAGCTGATGGCTGTCACATATCCGAGATAAAGAGGGCTGAGGAAGTGCGAGTCGTGCCGCTGCTTTCTGTGCAGTCAGCGACATTTCGTATTATTATCCGTTATTACCGTATGACAGGTCTACACCTCCGGCCCTGCCTCATACAGATATTCCATAAATTGTGGTTTAATTTCTCATCATGGAAAAAAACAGACCGCAAATGGAGAATTGTTTTCCAACCATATATGATGTAAATTGAACTGTATTCAATAGATTCAGACCTGGACAGGCAGTAATGCCAGGCAGGCTGGAGCAAAAACATGCTCTTAACACAGATCACCTGCGTGGCTCAGTTTTTGCCAGTATAATTTAGATTTTTAATCCAGGGCTGAAGCATCTTTTTTACTATTGATACCAAATTTGTAACTTCAAAAATTCACATTGTTTGTATCCATTGTACTTGGTTTGAAAAGCACATTGGGGATTTCAAATAAGGGCCTGGCACTGCTCGCAAGCTTGTTGAGAGCCTATGTATAACTGAGAAACCCGGATATTTTTATCTGTGGTAGGAAAGAGGGAGGTGAGTGTCATTCACACATGTGCTATCCAAGTTTATTTCCCTGCATAGCTCCAGGAAGAGTAAAACTGGTGCTCTGACCCTAAAACTCCCATATATGTGTGCCCCTTATTCACAATGTTATTAATGTGTCCTCTTCTACACCTCATAATCCTTCATCAGTGTCTCCCCTACTGCTCCCCCTCCACCTTCGTCCCAATGTCAGCAGTGTATGCTCTACCGTACCTTCCACCAATGTCCTTATTATATCCTCTTTTTTACCATCTGTTCTTTCTCCCCATTGTCATCAGTGTCTTCTCAACTGCACCCCTACACCTTCTCTACAATATTATCAGTGTCTCTTCTACTGCATCCCCTGCATCTTCTCCCTAGTATCATCAGCACATACTCAACTGCACCCTCTGCACCTTCCCCGATGTTATCATTATAGCCTCTTCTTCACATTCTCCTCAATGTCATCAGTGTATACTCTCGTGCTCCCCCTTTATCTTTTCCCCAATGTCAGCAGTGTATGCTCCACTGCACCCCCTTTACCTTTTTTCCAGTGTCATCAGTGTATGTTCTACTGCATCTTATACCTTCCCCCAATGTCATCATTATATCCTCTTTGTCACCCCTGCTTCTTCTCCCCAATGTCATCAATGCCTTCTCTACTGCAACCCCTTCACCTCCTTCGCAATGCTTCTCTTCTCCACCCCCTGCTCTTTCTCTCCAGTGTCAACAGTGACTCTTCTACTGCACCTCCTGCACCGCCAGGTAATTACTCTGTTTCTTTCTGACAGGTCTCTGACAAGTTTTCCTTTGGGCTCTTCGATTTGGACTGGGATGTCTTCATGCAGCACATCCAGGGGGCAATCAACAGGGTTCCTGCCTTGGAGAAGACTGGGATTAAGTCCACGGTGTGTGGCCCAGGTGAGTTACAGCCACTTCTAAAATCAACAGCGCGCCATCTTTTTTAATTAGAGGATAATGGGTCCCAATACAATAGCTTAGCCCTTTTCTGAAACTGTTCTGGTTAACCCCTCCATTAATTTTCCCTGTATTCCAACAAAAATAAATGTAATCCAGTGAAACCGATTTTGTTGATAGATTTTGTAAGTGTACGAGTGCTCTGGCTGTTTATTTTGCCAACATTTCTCATATTTTATGCAAAGGGAATAACATTTTGAAATGGATTCTAGCTTTAAAACGTACAGACCAAACAGAGACTGTTACTGCCAATATTGGCGTTTAGTTTCTTGGCCAGGTAAGGGAGGCTGAAAAGGAACTCCCTTCAGTTTCTTTAAAGCGCAACCTCAATTTTTTGTTTCTATTTGGATAGAGTGGGCAAGGTTTAGAGCCTCTGTCAGGTTCTTATTGCTTTATGTGTCTCTATTGGGGAGAGCAGTGAAGGTGTCACATCCCTGGTGGAGGCCGAGTGATGTGAAGGCTTCCCTTACACGTCCTGTCCGGCACCTCCTGGTATTAGGACAGAGTATGCAGGACACGGAGTGGCCATCTGGACAGCTTGTCCAGATGCAGCAAGTCAGCAGTCTGTCTGGAAACTGGAGAGTATCGGAGACCAGGATCAGCAACAGAATTCCAGAATGTCAGACAGGCAGCGAGGTCAGAAGACAAGCCAAGGTCAGACACAGCCAGATGGCAGTGGCACACAGGCAGTAGGCAAGGATCAAAGTCCTGGTACGAGGCAAGGTCAGGCACAGCCGGGCAGTAGAGGTACAAAGACGTAAGCAGAGAGGGTTGTCAGAGTACAAAACGGGGGCAGTAGCTATGAATCCGGATATCGCAGAGTCAGGCAAGCCATGACAAAATTCAGATGGTAAAAATCAAAGTCAGATCACAAAAGGCAGGAGCTGACGACCAGTCAGCAACTCTCCTCAGTAATGCTCAAAGCATTCCTACACACAGATTTATGAGCCAACATAGCTCTTTGTCGTGAGCCACATCCCACAGCATATCTCCCTGGACAAACCCTTAGGCTTGACCTTCCTGTCGTCCATGTGCACGCGCAGATCTTCAGGCATGGCTGCATGCATGATTTTTTCTGAAAGGAGGGTTAGAACTTGGGACAGTGTTTTAATGTCTGTGCCTCCCTGTCCTGGTAACAGCAGCAACCGCTATTTCCTCTACAGCCATCACTGGAACAGGACGTAAAGGAAAAATCTGCCCAATGAGGTCACAAATAGACATATAAAACAAGTGTTAGAAGTGCACAGAGATGCCTTCAAATTTGCTCTTGATTCCACATCTTTCTTGCAAAAGGCCCCCGGCTCATAGTGTCAGAATGCCCTAAGGAAACCTTTCTTATTCTTGAAGCTTCACAACAATGCTGATGTTTAAATAATTATAGCCATTTTTGGGGGGATAGAGTAGAAAAGTCATAAAATACCTCGGCATTGTTTTGAAGCATTAAGAATGTCATGGATGTGTCAAGGACATTCTGACGCTATGAGCTGGGAAAAGATGTGGAATCAAAAGGAGCAAAGTTGAAGGCGTATCTGTTCACTTCCACCGCTTGTCTAATGAACCAGTGAGAGGTGCTGGCAAAACACTAAATGATTTATCTGAGCCCTCTAATGCTAAAATAATTACTGCTGACAACTGAGGTGGCGTACTCCTCCCCTAGGAGTTATTCTCTGGTGTGAGAACATTAATCTAAGGTGGGTAGGAACCACCGATACTCGGGAATTATAATAGGGAGATCACATTGTTGAAGTATCCATGACCTATAAGAAGGCACGGACTTAATTGTTCCACTGCGCTTCACCTGTAACTAAAATTCTACTTTTGGGTAATGACCCATTAACCCTTGCCTACCTGAGCCCTTACCATGATACCATACCTGTGAGATCTCTGTCTGTCCTACTTAGAGCAAAATAATTGGGGCTGAAAGAAAAGACACAAGAGGGCAGTATTTCACTGGAGAATTTTAGAGATCACAGCAATCCTTTGAACAAACTAAATGCATAAGCGAGAAGAAGAAGAGAAAAAGGTTTACACTGCATTTACACCTGAGCAACAAGAAATAAGCGCGTTTTCAGCATGTTTTTGTGCAGCATGTTTTTGCGTGATTGTGCATATTTTTACGCGTGTTTTACGCTCATATATAAAGTCGCAAGTTTTAATGACCAGATTGTGGCACATTGATGTCAATAGACAGACGCACATAAAAATATGCACAAACGCACACCAACACGAGTTTTTGAGCATCTCTATTGAAGTCTCTTAGACCAAGAAGCGCAGAATCTGCCAAAAAAAAAGCTAATTCACAGTGAGCGACGGGCATTTTACTGCAAGCGACATGACACTCGGGTGTGAACATGACCGTTGAAATGAATGGGGGGGCTTTTTTGGATCGTTTTTCTGAGCAGAAAAAGCGCTACAACATTCTCGGTGTGAGTGAGGGCTTAAAGGAGAACTATGGGCTCAGGGCTTTTCCCCATAGTTCTCCTAAGGGTCACGAGAGAACACAAACTAGCGTTCTCCTGTGACCCAAAGCTCAGTATACCGCGAGCTACAGCTCGAGGTATACTGATGACGCCGCAGTCAGAACGGATCCCGACATTGCTGTCGAGATCCACCCAGCTGCGGGATTGACAGCTGGCTCTGCCTATCTAGAGGCAGAGCCAGCTGTGCCCGCTCCGCCCCCGTCCATTCCGCCAGTCAGCGCTGGAGAATCTGACAGGGGAGGGGGGGAATCCCTGCACGGAGCCGTGAGTGACAGTCACGGCTCTCTGCAGGGATAGATGGAGAAGTGAGCGAGCTGCGGTATGCGTTCGCTCACTTTCCAATCTACTGAGCCGACCTGTGACAGTTTCATTGTCACAGGTCGGCTCAGTTTATGAGGCTGAGTGAAAATCACTCACCTCATAGTTCTCCTTTAAGGTTCAGTTGCAGGAGGGGTACCGGCAGGCTTTGGAGACAGGCGGTTGTGGCCCTGTGCAGTCAGAGTGTGTTGATCTGAATGCCTGATAGTAGAAATACTGTTTAACTCTCTGTAAATGCTTAGTGTTTCTATGGAAAAATTGCAGTGTATGTACTGTGCATGTGTTCTTTTACATTCATATGAGATGTTACATTAGATACTGCATGGTAGTATTACTCCATTCATCGATCTATCTATAAACACTATCTGTTATTTGTGTCAGCCAGTGGAAAAATAGCTCCTCCTTGGCTATGTCACGCAGGCTTATCTTTTGTGTTGGTCACCAATATGTAGGTCATGTTTCTTTTTATAACAGATGTGGCCTGACATGTACATGGAAAATGCTTGTCCATAAAAGCGCATTGTTACCGCTGATGGAGGTGTGAGCAAGACTGGCAGACATAGATCTTCTGTGTATGTGTCTGTCTAAACCCTGAAAAAAATGTAAAATTTCTACTGCTGCATTAGTCTAAAGCTTTGCTCTGGGCAACCAGCTGTGTCATTGAGTCAATTCAATGTTTTTTAAAGTGACACTACTCTAAGTAAGAAAAAAAAAGGCTTTTTAAATATTTATATAGGGCTTGTTCTACCTGTAAGGGTTTTTTTTTTTTTTTTTTTCTTCCTCCTGTTTTTTTATACC